AGCAGCGGGTAAACAACGGTTACTTCAACTGAATGAGATGGATGAGTTTCGTCAGGAAGCTTATGAAAATTCAAAAATCTACAAAGAGTGAACCAAGAAGTTTCATGACATGCATATTCAGAGAATGAAGTTTCTTGTGGGGCAGCGGGTGTTGTTGTTCAATTCTTGCCTGAAGCTTTTCCCGAGAAAATTGAGGTGTGGTCTAGTCCATACTATTTCACAGGTATTTCCACAAGGAGCTATGGAAATCACCCATGAGAGCAAATGAACATTCAAGGTCAATGGACAACGCTTAAAGCACTATTGGAGCGGAGACTTCTCGAAAGACAAATCCATCGTTCATTTTCAGCCACTAGAGTGATCTCCACACGGTACAGTCGAGCTATCGACTATAAACTAGCGCTAGATGGGAGGCAACCCATCATTTCTACCCTTTTACTTTTTCCGCTTTATTCATTTGATTTAGAACATTTCTGTTTCTTTATGCCTTTTTGGTAGTGGTAGGTCATCATCGCCTATTTGATTCACAAATCACCCATACATGCTCCATATGAGTTTTGAATGCAATATATATGTCTTATGTGGTATACAAATCTTCTTTGGGCACACTGGAAGAAAGCTCACGCATCTCGAGGCACAAAAAGGCAAATTTTTGAGTTTTTCGGACCAACACTTACTTTCATGGTTGGAAATGTTTTTAGATGTGTTGTTACAGCTCATAAGCATATCATGTAGTTTATAATGTGGTTGGATAAAGTTTGGGGGTATTACATTGGTCATTGTTCCATTCTGTGCAAAATTTACGTATTTCGAGGTAAAATGGTCAACAACTGTGTTTTTCAAAATCCACATATCTTTTCAGGTTCAATTTGATTTTGGAATGAGATTCATATTTTAAATGCACACACGGTGATTTGGAATGTGTTTTGCGCAGTCGAGGGGTGGTTAGGCCTCGGTTTGTATAGTGAGTTATACATCGAGTTTATAATGAAAATCAAGCAAACTTGAGTTTTTCGAGATTGAATGGATTTTAAGGTTTTCATGTTCACCTACCTCAAATCACTCATTTGACATCACTTGGCACGAGACTTGAGGCAATACTTAAAAAAAATTAAATTTTTGTTATTAATTTTTTCTGAATTTACTGTTGCACTTTTAGTAGTAGTTTAAAATTCTTGTGTGCTTGTGTGGGTTTGACAATTCTGCTTACAATGGTGTTCGATATTGGACTGTGTACGCACCGCGAATGATGAAAGCTATGCATTATTGGGTTGATCGCTACATGTCAATGTGAAACTTGATTTACGTTGCACACGACATTCATGCTTGCATATTGGGCTAATGATTTGACTTATTGTTTAGAAATAGTTGAACATAGAGAATATACCCGGAAAACTTCTTTTGTG